ATAAGGCGATTTCCATATATTTTATATACGAGGAGATTTCAATATACTTCAAAGAATCAATGAAATTGAAAATGCTACAATATATCGAAAGAAAAGTTTTTGCAGTGAACTAAGGAAGATGAGTATTTGACAACCGAATAATGAAAAATATAGATTTTTATTGTAGAAGTAAATTAAGGATGTGGGTTATAAAAATAGTTGGCGATGGAGAGGGAGGAAGTCTTGATTAAATGAGATATGACCATTAACGCAATTTGGGCTTTTTTGTTTTTCTTTAAGAGGTCTTCGTATAAGTCTAATTTGAGGAAGTTTTTTTGGGGGATATTGTGAATAAGTGAAACGTCTTCTGGCATATTAAGGGTGTGGTGTGGTTCATCAACAAACTTATCCACAAAAAACGTCTTCCTACTACATACTGCCGAGGAATTTGCGACACAATTGACCTCATTTAGCATAATTAGAGCCGCTTCTTTGATTTTTCTTTTTTTACCATCCGTTTCTTTTAGGACTACATTTGAATTATTCCATTGAACCCTATGTTCATTATCCCATGCGTGTTTACAGATTTGAGGTCTATCAAATTCTCTATTTTTAATATAAGATTTATGTTCACTTATTCTAACATTTAATGGTCTTGATGTTTCACCTAAATAAAACTGATCGCATTCACAAGGTATTTTATAAATGCTATAAATAATGTAAAAAAGGAAATAATTAAATCCTTATACGATAGAGCCAAAATTACTTGTTCTAACGAAAATTCGTTCTTGAAGGAGAAACATTTGTTAACATCTGTTTTATTACAAAATGATTATCCTTTATCGTTTATAAATAAAAAATTTTCAACAATCGATCGAATAGAACAGAACAACTTAGAACGAGATCCTACAGCATACACAAGAAATAATACGAGGAAAATAACAATACCGTACATAAAAGGATTATCAGAAAAACTTAAAAGAATTGAAAATAAATTCAACATTTCAACAACATTCAAAAGAACAAACACGTTGAGATCTATTTTGTCCAAAACCAAACCTAACAATGAACAAAAAAGGACAAAGAATTGCATTTATAAAATACCTTGGAATGCGATCAGTTTTATTTAGGTGAAACATCAAGGCTATTAAATGTTAGAATAAGTGAACATCAATCTTATATTAAAAATAGAGAGTTTAATAGATCTCAAATATGTAAACACGCATGGGATAAAGAACATAGGGTTCAATGGAATAATTCAAATGTAGTCCTAAAAGAAACGGATGGTAAAAAAAGAAAAAACAAATAAGCGGCTCTAATTATGCTAAATGAGGCCAATTGTGTCGCAAATTCTCGGCAGAATGTAGTAGAGTCTGGTTACCAATATTGAAAGAGAAAGTTATTTATAAGGAAATACCAGTATTAGTAAGTCAGTAACATATGGAGGATACATCATTTATGTTTTTTAAATAACGAAATATATAAAATTAGAATTTTGGTGTTTATTGAAGGTAAACTAAATGCACGAACAAATACTTACCATATCGGGATAGTATTATGAGGTTTTTTTCCTGGTTTTTCCCTCATAATTTACTATGGAATCACTAACAGGAGAATTTTACTGTCATCATGTCATGTGTTTGTCTTTTTGAAGACGAGTTACATGCTATTATTTTTTTCTGACGGATATTCTCAAGTTAAAGTTAATTTAATGTAATCGATTGAACTATCTTATAAGTAAAGTCGTCCCAGGAGCGCAACTCAACAATATTGGCAATATCATTTTAAAGTCATCTGCTTTAAAATGCAAAATGTGTGCCTGAATTGTCAATATAAATGAGTCAGATAAAATTACATTATTAGAAGAATTTTTCACTATGTAACAAAAAACAAAATTTGTTTAATTTACTGTTTGTATTTTGAGAACGATTTCCGAAGTGGAAATTGAAACCTCAATAAACGTATTTTTATCTTTAATTATGGCTTATTCCCAGTTAAATAGTAATTAGGCATCACTTTATCTAGCTACGAAAAGCTCGAAACCAAAGTGGAAGATCAAGTGAACAGAGCAAACAGAGCCAGAGGCTGCCTAAATGAAACAATATGGAGAATACGCGGCGGAAACAAGATCTGACACAGAGAGGACAAAAAGGATGTTTTAGAAACAGCAGAGATGAAAACACTCTATGATAGAAAAATTAATGGTAAGACACTATGAGACAGAGCTAGAAGTACATAGATATGACATAGATGCAAGGTGGAGAACATCAAGAACTGGGTAAGAAACAGAAGAGTAAAACGAACGATCATATAAGCCGAATGACAACAAATAGAGTAGTGAATACGGCAAGAGACGGCTCATCAATAGAAAGACGATCAGTAGGAAGACCACGAAAACGATGGAATGACAACTTACTGGAGGCACATTGAAAAACAGACAGAGTTATGTCTATATAAAAAGAAAAAGAAGAAGACATTTTTGACATGAATAGAGTGTTCACTCTTACAAAAATTGCTTTTAAACTTATTGATAGCTTACTTTAAAAAAACCTAAAATCACATTCATTGTAGGAAGATCTGCTTTGGTATGAAATTCGTTCCATTTATGTTAATTAATTTTATCTTATTTATAATAAATTATATGAATAATATTCATATCTTAAAGTGATTCTTTTGTTAATTGCATCCTTTGCAAGATACCAAAAAATGTATTTTTATGCAGATACATTAGATTGATAACACACTGAATATGAGTATGTACAAGGCATTTTCTCTTACTAAATTTATCACAACATTTTTCACGCACTTGGATAATCTTGTCTTTCCAGGCAACCCAATATGGCTCTTTTTAAATAGCCATGTAAGGCAGCTTTGACAAAAATAAATTTTTTGGCTGTGATTTAATGTTGTATTTTGGCCAATAGTTGACATAAATGGTTGACATATACGGTTACGGATACTTCGCTTGTTTTTAAAGAGAACTGGATTGTTTGATTTTAATACTTGAATGTTTGTTACATTGTAATACTTGACCTGTGGAACGTTGGCTGTTGCAAATGCCCAATTAAATTGTTACCATAACACCGCCTCTCTTTAACTCTCACTTCACTGGTCAACTATACCAGTTCTTCGAATAAAAGCTAACTACTTTCAATTTCAAAACTACGTTTTTTGCACAATATGTTTGTGAATTAAAATGATTGTTTTATTTAATTGCTTTCTTAAGAATCTGCGTCGAAGGACCAAGATTGTTTGTAAACCTATGTAGATGCTGGTAAATCTTGTTTCATATTATGATGGAGGTATTGTTGAGAAGAAATGGACTCTATTGTTACTTTACTTTGAATGTTTTGTGTACAACGCTCTTGTAATGTCAGTGAACGACTGGGAGGTACCTTTAGAGCACCGGTCATACACCTAAACTATGTTCAAAAATAGTCAGGTGCACTATAAAATTTAAATATAGTATAAAATTAGTATTGAATTCGACGGTTTTACTACTTTAGTCATTTTCGCGATATTATAAATTGTTACCATAACACCGCCTCTCTTTATATATATATATATATATATATATATATATATATATATACATATACATATATATATATATATATATATATATATATATATATATATATACATATATATATATATACATATATATATATATATATATATATATATATATATATATATATATATATATATATATATATAACACTGTTTTTAATGGGTTGGAGTCAATAAAAGGGGCTATTTGTTGACTATTTTTTACTCGAGCTTTCAATTGTGATTACAATTTTTATCAAGAGCTTCTAAAAAATACAAAATGTCTTACAAAGTTGAACTAGAAATAAAAAAATTTTTGTTAACTCAATAAAAATAAAATTAGTTTTTTATATAAAACTACTGCTTACATAATAAATACAAAAAATATTAATAAAAAAATGCCTTATTCTAATAAATGTTTCTGTGAAAAATTTAGATGAAGTTTCTTAAGAAAAAAAAATTGAATTTATAAACAAACATAGAATAGCTACAACCAGCCTAAAATGTCATAAATACTAACTTAAAAATTTTTATTTTTGACATATTGTCAAAAATAAAATTTTGTTTAAAAAATTCTTCTTTGACATTTTGACAATATGTCAAAAATAAAAATTTTTAAGTTAGTATTTATGACATTTTAGGCTGGTTGTAGCTATTCTATGTTTGTTTATAAATTCAATTTTTTTTTTTCTTAAGAAACTTCATCTAAATTTTTCAGAGAAACATTTATTAGAATAAGGCATTTTTTTATTAATATTTTTTGTATTTATTATGTAAGCAGTAGTTTTATATAAAAAACTAATTTTATTTGGTGAGTTAACAAAAAATTTTTTATTTCTAGTTCAACTTTGTAAGACATTTTGTATTTTTTAGAAGCTCTTGATAAAAATTGTAATCACAATTGAAAGCTCGAGTAAAAAATAATCAACAAATAGCCCCTTTTATTGACTCCAACCCATCAAAAACAGTGTTATATTTTTTTCCAAACGAGTCACAAGTACTTCTCTTTTATATATATATATATATATATATATATATATATATATATATATTATATATATATATTTATATGTATATATATATATATATATATATATATACATATATATATATATATATATATATAAATATATATATATATATATATATATATATATATATATGTATATATATATATATATATATATATATATATATATATTCTTAAAATACGTAATTACCCAACTATTCATATATCAATATTAATAAAAAAATAATTTTTTAAATTGTATAGTTAACATTCTCTATTATCATTTTTATGTGATTATAGATAATTCCACTTATGCTGTGTATATAAGGTTTATATTGGTAAATAATGATATGTTTTGATTCTAGTTACCAGATAACTATCTGAATATAAATATATCGTGCTTGTTATAGATATAAAATAATATATTATAAATATTTGAAGTGACAGTTATATTCTAAAAATGGACTTGTGTAGTGAACAAAAGGTTATACTAGAAAAAGTAGCTAAAGAAAATGGTTTTAAAAATTATACAATTAAAAGCGAGCGGGCTTCAAATACAGGTGATAATTTTGTTGGCGTACTAAGCAGAATCTCAATTGAAGAAAATTGTAGGAAAATTGCAGTCATCATTAAATCAACCAAATCAGGAGTTGAGAAAGAACTACAAAATCCAAGGATTCCTTTTCTAAAAGAAATTTATGTGTATGATCAAATATTTCCAGAATATGCAGCATTTGCCCAAGAATTTAATATTAAAGATGTATTTAAGGCACACTGCAAATGCTTTGGTACCTGTGATGAAGAAAACAAAGAATACTTGGTGCTTGAAGATATGAGGGAACATGGTTTTAAAATGTGTAGCAAATATGAAACAATGAACACCTTTCATATAGAAGCAGTTATTAGAGAATATGCAAAATTTCATTCTATAGCATTAGCCATGAAAACTAAAAGACCCGAAAAATTTAAAAAATTAACAACTGGAATCCCAAAAATTGCTCCATCACAAGACAAAGCTGATGTTCAAAAGATACAAATGCTAAATTTATATAATGCTGTTAAAGACAATCACTTAGCTACAGATTTCATTAAAAAATTTGAAAATCAGTTAAATGAAGCAATAGCTATTGATACTAATGATGATGTAGTTATAATACATGGGGATACTTGGTGCAACAATATGTTATTTAAGTATGAGGTAAATATGTTTTTTTTTATAACTTAACAATATTTTGTTTTACTGTATCTTTTTGGATTTTGGTCACCCATCCTAGCAGTTCTGTTGATTTAATCTTGTAATATTTATTTAAATTTATGAGTATTTTTAAACGCCTGTATTAAAACAAGAATTAATTATTTTATATTTATCAAAAGGCATTGAAGATCAGCATTGATCAGTGCGTTTTTGTAAGTACCTAAAACCAATTTTTAAAATAATTTCAAATAATTAAACCAATTAACTCATTTTTTTATAGCCCTTTTTCTATCCGAATTGTTGAATAAAGGCCTCTCCAATTTCTCTCCATTCATCCCTGTTGTGTGCTAGGCGTTTCCACATTGGTCCTGCGACTCTTTTGATATCGTCGCTCCAGCGCATTTGAGGTCTTCCTCTTGGTCTCTTCGCATCGTACGGTCGCCAGTTTCCGACTGTTCCATCTACCATCTTCGAGACGTTCGTTGTGTCCAGCCCATTTCCATTTTAATTTAGCTGCTTGTTTCTCGGCGTCCTTTATTTTTGTTTTGTTCCGGATTGCTTCGTTCGTTTGCCGATCTATTAGTGAGGTATCAAGCATCTAATGTTCCATGGCTCGCTGAGTTTTTCGAACCTTGTCCATGTTCTTTTTTGTAAATGTCCAGGTTTGAGCTCCGTAAGTGAGAACGGGAATGATACAAGAATCGAAGACTTTGATTCGAAGGTTTTGGGGTATCTTTTTGTCTTTCAGTATGTACGAGAGTTTTCCAAATACGGCCCATCCCATTCTTTCTCGTCTGCTTATTTCGGTAGTTTGGTTTTCTTTGTTTACCTTGATATTGTGACCCAGATATATGTATTCTTCTACATGTTCCACTTTTGTTTCTTGGATGGTTATCGTCGGTTGATCATCTTTATTCGACATTAGCTTAGTTTTACTCAGATTCATTTTCAGTTCTTTTTTTATGGATTCCTTATGAAGCTCATCGATCATCGTCTTCAGTTCTTTCCAGCTGTCGGCTATTAGTACTACGTTATCTGCATATCTTAGAGCCCCTTCGTTTCCCAATTTAGTGATTTAAAGATGTCTTCAAGTGCCACAGTAAATAGTTTTGGAGATATGGTATCTCCCTGTCTTATTCCTGGGTTGATTTTTATTGGCCTCGTTTTCATTCCGCTATCCATCGTGACTACCATTTCAGCGTGTTGATATATATTATGTATTAATATCCTATATCTGGAATCTATTCTGCTGTTGACCAGTGCTTCCTCAATAGCCCATAATTCTACGCTGTCAAAAGCTTTCTCGTAGTCTATAAATGCTAAACTTTTTCTATTAGGACCTTTAGTGTGCGAAGATGGTCACATGTACTGAACCCTTTTCGTTTACATACATCGAACTTTGTTGTCAATCTATTTGTAATTATTTTTGTGAATGTTCTATAAAGATGTGATAGTAGTGATATTGGACGATAATTTTTCAGATCTGTATTGTCCCCTTTTTTGTGTATTAATGTTGTGTTAGCAGTATTCCATTCCTTTGGTATGTTTCCTTCAAATAGGCATTTATTAAATAGTATTTTTAGGTATCTGATGACTTCTTCTCCGCCTTCTTTCAACATTTCTGCCAGAATGTCATCACTACCCGGTGCTTTATTTCTTTTCAATTCTTTAATTGTATTTTCTTTTTCTACTTTGCTTATTTCGGGTATTACTTCAGAACTTACGTTTGTTATTTGTCTTTTCAGATTTTGCTTTGAAGAGTCGGGGGGATCATTTCTTGAGCGGTATAACTCAGTATAGACACATTAACTCATTATCATTAAGCATCTCCAAACGTTAAATAAATTTAGTTCTTAAAAACCAGTTGCGATATGTGAAATGATTTGTCTCCAGTGTTGACTTTTTGTTTCTTTATTTTTAAAATCTGTGACAATTCACCCTTGTATCAAAAAATAGTGGTAAATCTTTTAGAATTTATACCCTACGTATAGTAAGGTAGCCTCAGTTACACCAGGTTTATTGTAAAGCTAGGCAACATTCAATTTTTAAGTGCTTACTTGATGAACAACAATTTGTTTTGATTTATCTTGTCGAATCGATACTTTTAACTTTAATTTACGTAATGGGTGATTCATTTAGAGTTACTTTTTTTTAAATAGAAAAAAACAATGAAAAAAATAAGTTTTATTTGAAAATCTTAATTATCATACACAAAAAAACAATATTTACTTTATTTTCATTAATTACGTCTTAAAAATAATTTCTTTCAAACGTTGGCTAAGACTGCGCTCAAGTTGGTGCATTCTAAAGTTCGAATTCTCGATGACCCGTTTCATTGGTATTTGACCCATGACTCCGGTACTGGTTTATTTTTGTAGACCTAAGACTTTACACTGTGAATTTATGTCACAGGATCTAAGCGGTCAATTCACTGGTCCGAAGCGTGAAATAGATTGTTTTCCGAATCGTTCTCGCAGTACCGCCATGCTTTCACGGTCTGTACAGCAAATGGCTCTATCTTTTTAAAACCAAATGTCGTCGAGACTACGAGCTTCAATTTTAGGCACACTATCATTCTGGTTGGCCTTTGTTTTCAGATCAGGGAATTCTCCTATCTTATCTCATTGCCTGCTTAAATTGGATCAGTTCGTTCTTCTTTCACGCTTACTATTATTGTGTTGTACTGGCAGATATTTGTGATCGTTTTGAATATTCAAAGAGGTATCTTTTCCTAATAAAATTCCTGCAGAACTGCTGAAACTATTAGATACAGAACAAATAAAAATAATAACTGATATATTTAATGAAATAAACCAGGCAGGAAAAATACCAGTAGAGTGGCTTAAATCGGAGTTCGTACCATTGCCCAAAAAACCAGGAGCAAAAGTTTGTGTCGATTATAGGACAATAAGCCTAATGAGCCATCTGCTGAAGCTGTTTTAAAGGTTATATACAAAAGAATTTACCGGAAATGCGAGGAACAAATTGCGCCCAATCAGTTTGGATTTGTGAACGCCGTTGGTACCAGAGAAGCTTTATTTAGCGTGCAGATCTTGTTTCAGAAATGTAGAAATGTCAGCAGTAATGTTTTTGCATGCCTGATTGACTACCTACAAGAAGGCTTTCGATAGAGTCAGGCATGAACAAATGATGGAAGTGCTGAAGAGGGCAGGGATTGATGGAAGAGACTTAAAAATTATAGCTAATCTGTATTGAAATCAATCAGCGGTACTCCGACTAGATGGAGAATATACAGAACAGGTTGAAATCTTAAGAAGAGTGAGACAGGGGTGCATAATTTCACCACTAATATTCAATTTGTACTCGGAGCACATTTTTGAAGAGGCCCTAAAAAATATTGATGAAGGCATCTCAATAAATGGAGTCAAGCTTAATAACCTGCGGTATGCAGATGATACAATAGTGTTTTCCAATACCATAGAAGGGCTGCAAAATTTAATGAACAAAATAACAGAACAAGTAGATCCTATGGACTGGATATAAACACCAGCAAAACCAAGCTAATGATCATCAGCAAGCAAAACATAACTGGAGCAAATCTGTATGTGACCCAAATGAAAATTGAACGTGTCTCACAATACAATTACTTGCGAACTATAATCAATGAGTCGTGGGACAATACCCAAGAGATTAAATGTCGCATCGGAAAGGCCAAAAGTGCATTCTTGGCTATGAGCTCTATGTTTAAAAGCCATGACCTCACCCTGAAAACAAAAATAAGGCTCCTTAAATGTTACGTCTACTTAGTGCTTCTGTATGGAGTAGAAACGTGGACATTGAAGGCGGAAAATCTATCAAAACTTCAGGCGTTTGAATTATGGTTATACAGAAGAATCATGAAGATACCATGGACAGACAAAGTCACCAATGAAGAAGTACTGCGGAGGACGAACACAACCGCGGATTTGGTCAACATAGTGAAGAGCCGTAAGCTGGAGTACTTGGGACATATAATGAGAAATCAAGGCAGATACGAGCTACTCCAAAGCATTTTGCAGAATAAAATTGAAGGAAAAAGACCCCCAAGACGAAGAAGAATATTCTGGCTTGCTAACCTGAGAGCATGGTATAGAAAGACATTAACAGAGCTATTTCGTATAGCAACCAACAAAATCATCATAGCCAGAATGATCGCCAACGTTCGGAACCGACAGGCACCCTAAGAAGAAGAAGATCTTCCTAGCTGTCCTTAATTTTATGCTGTCAAATTCCTTCTTAAAGTTCACGAAACATAAATATGCCAGTTTGTTGGATTTCAATGTTATCTCTTTCATTTGCCTTATTATAAATATAGCATGGATGCATAATCTTCCAGACCTAATAGTTGTTGTTTTTCTACTAATTTTATTTCTACTTGTGACTTATATTTCGTCTTATTAATGTTAAATTACGTGTACAATATTAACGTACATTTAAATTAAACTAATATTGCGCATCGATTCATATACGCAACGTTTTTATTAAATAACGAATTAGCAAGATTTTCTTCTGCTTTTCTGTGACCGATAACCCTCCCACAAGTATCCGTGAGGCGCGTCAGAAAATTAACCCTTAAAAATGGAAAATAAACCAGAATAAACTTTTCTTTAAAATACTCCGTCACCTTGTACATTATAGTCAGCGGTATTGTCAAGTCATTTGATTTCACATATTCCTCTGGTGTGAGGTCAGATTTGACGTAATCCTTTAAGGTAGTCTTCGGAATAATAAAGGGTTTAGTAGCTGTTTTATATTGAACTGTACAGCTGTGTCAATTAATCGTTAAATAAGTTTAAACTTACATTAAGGCGTCAATATGAATATACAGTACACTGTAGAATTGTACCATTAAAAAAACTATTGAGATATTGAAAAATCAAAGAGTAAATGAACGTAACAAATAATCTACGTCACTGGAATTACTAAACTGAATCTTTGTGAAGAGTTTCCTTCCTACTTCGCAAGGTTGTAGTACTCTCCGTTGAAGTTACAGTGAGGTTAGGATAGGATACGGATTTTAGAGACTTTACCTTAACCGATATTTTTTATGTACTCCCATAAAAAGAAATGTATAGAAGTCAAACTAAGTTATCGTGATAGAAACTTAAGTGAATATCCTCTTGCCATACATTTGTTACCAAACTTTCTATTCCATTAAATTTAAGTAATGTTTGATACGAACAGGTGTGCTGTCTATTCTTTCTACAAATATTTCCTTTTTTATTTTACGAAGACAAACTTACATAAGCAATGCAATAGTGCATATTAGTGTCATGCTCTCTATCTCTCTCTCTCTCTCTCTCTCTCTCTCTCTCTCTCTCTCTCTCTCTCTCTCTCTCTCTCTCTAAGTACGCAGCATTAGTTCAAACAGCACCTACTCTGAAATCTTCTCACACTCTGGTCTTTCTGTCATACAGCCTTAGGATACAAAGAAAATATGACTGACAATATCTTCATCGAGAAAGATGATGTGATTATCAATGGTTTATAAATGGTATAACTACTGATACAATAATAAACGAGAAAGCGACACTGAAGAACGAACGGGAATAATATTCGGGAAGTGGGGGCGGCAGGACTATTAGATCGTTTTTCACTATGTTCTCCTCAATGGGTAAAGGTTTTTAGTGGATAGAAATCCTACACTATCTTTTGGTACGATCCGGTCTTTTGAGAATTTTTCTCTACCGCTTAAAATATATATTTTGGATATTCTAAATATTGTTTGAACAATACATGAACTACCCACATTGAACCAATAAAATTGGTCCAATTAAGCACAACAATAAAGAAATCATCATCATCGGTGGCATTACAGCTCGTTATGAGCCAAAGTCTTCTACAGAACAATCTTTCATTCGCCCCTGTTTCTAGCAACTCTTCATGCTTTTACTCCGATCGATTTTAGATCATCATCTATGTTATCCTGATACATAAGTTTTGGTCTTCCTCTGGCTCATCTTCCCACTGGTCCTCTGTGGTCGAAAATTTTTCTGATCGTTGAATCTTCATTTCGCCTAGTTACGTGTCCTATCTATCGAAGGCTTGCTAATTTAATACATTTTACAACGTCAGGTTCCCCAAAACTTCTGTATAACTCAAATTTTTAGCGCCTACGGTACAAACCCTGTTCTTGGACTACTCCATATATTTTCCTTAAAATTTTTCTCTCGAAACGTTTAAGCAATTCTTGGTCGTTCTGGGTAAGTATCCACGTTTCTGACCCATATGTTAACCCGTATGTTTTATATGTGGTAACTTTAATTTTTCCAATCTTATATACTAAAACGCTAGCCCTTTTCTTGTCCACCACTTTACTCAAAAACCATATCTTATATACTAAAACGCTAGCCCTTTTCTTGTCCACCACTTTACTCAAAAACCATATTAGATAATTAAAATATTTTTTCGGAATATTATTAGTATTTCGTATGACATTGTCAATATATACTTTTGGTACAAAAATTCACTTCCGGTTTTGAGATAACCGGAAGTTAAAATTTACTTTAAGTTTTAGACCCCACAATCTATATATGGATCGAAAGGTCTCGTCGAGACGAATCTAAATATGTACTTCCGATTGCGATCCGACACCGAAAGTGACCCGAAACGCGCATAAAACGTCAAGATAGATCAAATCTGACACCGGATTCGTGATCAACATTCAAAATTAACTGCTAAATGATATCAATGTCGACATTTGATGAACTAAAAATTGCATTCCGGTTTTGAGGTCGACTTCCGGTTTCGTTTTTATTAAAAAGTAAAAAGTAAAAGTTTACATAACTCCCGGTGCCAAGCAAAAGTTTTCAAAAAATGGAGACATTGTAACAAAAAACATTGTTTTCGACGAAATATTTCGTGATATTTAATACACTTTTTACTTGCATTATTATTGATGAATGTTAGGTATATTCTTGCTTATATTGTTTGTATTGATCTCTTAATTTTTCTCACAAAATAAAAATTTCATTTAAAAAACTCGATATCGAGTTGGTCCGCTAGTTATTATTTAAAACAATAAGGAAATAATATGTTTTAAATAATTGAAATAACTTTAAAACGGAATTTTTGAATTAAATTTTTTATAAGTAAAAGCAGATCTCTATAAGTTTTAAAAAGCAATCAAATTCAATACTTGACAAAAGAAAAAATACAGGGTGTTTAATTTAATAAAATTACGTTATAAGAATTGGACTGTATAATGAAATAAATACCTTAAATAATTTTTAAATTAAATCCTTCAAAAAACAACATATTATCATTTTTAAATTTTTTAAAAGTTTAGTCATAAGATACTGTGAAGTCAGTAGTGAGTCACACTGTATACTTTCAGTCTTATAATCGTGATTATTTTCTTTTACTTAAATTTCAGGAATTTATATTTTAATATTACATTTATTTTAGGACAACAATAACCAGGAAAAACCTTCAGAAGTATGTATTATTGATTGGCAAATATCTCAATTAGGCTCCCCCGCTAACGATTTAGTCAACTTTCTTTTTTACAATGCATCCGAAAAAATACTTGAAGATTATGAAAAATACTTAAAAATTTATTACGAAACTTTACAGAAAAATCTGAAAGATTTTTCTTGTGACGTTGAGGAAATTTTACCATTTGACCGTTTACGAAAAATGTTTAAAAATTATTGTAAACGTTCGCTATGGAACTGTGTTCTTATAATGAGGCTTCAAATGTGCGAATCTCACGAAGTTCCAGATGTGAAAAATATAAAGAGTCTTATGGAAAATGGAGCTACAATTGAAGATTTGGTTAATTTTAAGATACGTAGAATAGATGAATATTATCGAAGACTAAGCGTAATAATCAAATTTATGATTAAAAACTCTTTTTTTTAATCGACTGACTGTACATAAATATAATATTGTATATATTAAAAAAGTATAATTTCCATTTTTATTTATTTTATTTATTTTCTAACGCAGTGTTTGTTAAGTTTTTTGTCATATCCTTTAATACCCACTATCCTGTCATTCTAACCATTAAAATTAAGAAGATATAAAGTACACAAAAACTAAGTAAAAACACCGATGAAGTACAAGATAGAAAATGCTTAAAAAAATTAAAAACAATATCTTATTATTACTAATACAAGGTTCTCCGAAAACTATTCGATCTTTATTCACAACTTCTTCTTCTCCTGCTTCTTTCTCGACTCTACAATTGAGAGGCTCGGTAGTGAACAATGTTTAAAAACAAATAATTTTTATTTTTACCGAAATATGATGTAAAAGATGGCAAGGAACATGGCAACTCAGAAAACTTGGCTTATTTTATTCTCCGAAGAACAGCTGGCGTCAGATTAATTTCTTAAAATTTGGTAAGAGACATGAATACGCATGAAAATAATGTTATGCGTCCATGATGACGGAAGACAAAGCAAGCTCTTCAAATCTAAATGGCTTTTTTGATGTTAATAGTGACATTGCTGGGAAGTATGATGATTAATACTCAGATAAAAATCCTGAATTTTAAATATTTAGTGAAGCTAGCTCGATTAACTTTCTACAAAGAAGGTAATTTATTGATATTCTTAGAATAATTATTTGCAAGTAAAAAATGGTAAATAATGTACCTAACATTGTTGACATCTGCATTCACTTTGCATAAAAACTTTACATTTTTTACTTGCAAATATGAAAATGAATGAATCGGCAGCCCTATAATACTTAATACTATTTTTATTTATGTTTTAGAAAATTTTTAAAAGAACATGGACTTATAGGAGAATTAAATGAACACAGTAAACAAGAAAAAGAATATTCTGTTTCAGAAACAAAATCTAGAACAAGGAAACGCAATTTAAGTAAGCAATTAAAAATGAAAGAGCTCAGAAGTCGTGGAAAAGAATATAAACAATACAAAGGTAGGAGAAATATTGTTTTATCAGAAACACAAGGTCCACCTTCTAGTTGCCCCAATAAATGCTACGAGTTATTAGCACCTCATGAAGAGCTGCAGACAATTTTTGTTAATTTCTGGGGCATGAACAGTTTTGATACACAAAATGCATCCTTACAATCAATCTGTACGAGATCTAAAAATGTGACTAGGAAGAAAACTAAAGCATTAATCTGAAAAAGATCTCAAACTATTGAATATAAATTAAAATCACAAGGAAAAAATGTTAAGGTATGCAAAATGGCTTTCCTAAGTTTCCATGGCTTACAGAAATCGAGGTCGAGTTGAAAATCTAGTAAAACAATTAAAAATTGGATCAAATACTCCAAAATCAGATCTAAGAGGTCGACATTCAAACTATCCTAAAAAATATTTCAATTCTGATATAGATTTTCTCAAATATTTTATCGAATATTAGTTGAATGTTAAATATCGTTTATCAATATGTTTATACAATTAACCGATAAATAAATTTCATACGCTAAAAGTAAATCATTGCTTATTTTTTAAATTCACTTTAAAACGTTACATTTTCACTTATATATACTGAGTGACAAAAAAGGGTAAGCACCTACAAATAAATATTTGATTTTAATAAATTTTGGTATACATGTTTCGATTTTCTTCTATTTTTTAGCTTAAATCGTTAACTAACTGCAGAAACTGGTTCAATAATGTGTAGAGGATCTACGATTTCTTCTTTATTCTTCTTCTTCTCTATAACTTTCTTTAACACTCATTGACACACCGCGGCATCGTTCTAATTAGGTGGTCAATATCCTGTTTCTCATTCTCTCATTCCAGGCTTCTGCAATTTTATGAATAAGAGCTGCCAAAGTCTTTGTTGCAGTATACTACGTAAGGATCTTTTGGTCTTTCTAGAAATTCCTCTTATCGATAGACCGGCTTTACTTAACCCGACATTTCGACCACTCTTATAGGTACTTAGCTGGCACACCCGGCGATTTTTACGTGCTCTAGGTATGCTGAGCAACAAAAAAGCTTCTGAATCAGCTGACACCCTAAATTCACGAAAACTGAATGCTTCCTTATCACCAAATAATTCACGTAGTCACCACAAAAACGGATAAACCTCAAAATTATATCACTTGTTGCTCATGGAAAGTCAATAAGTCGATAAGTTCAAGCGTCAGCTAGTACCAGGAACATAAACTCAGCGCAGCCTTAGTGTGAGGTAAACACAACATACAACAATAGTAGCGGTAAGCATAAAGTGCGCAAGATTATCATTAATAATAATATTAATATTGCGAGCTCGACTCGTACCACTACTACCACTAAATGTTGTGTCTCTCTTGCAGTATCGCTGAGTATATGTACTTGGTACTAGTTGGCGCTTTAACTTATCGACTTATATCGCTATGAACAACAAGTGATAAAATTTTCAGGTTTATCCGAAGATGTGAGTTAGATTTACTTCTTCTCTTTCTTCCATAACTTGATGTAATATTTATTTAATATGTCTATCTTAAACTGTGTATATATTTTTCATTCCCTTTATGGCCAATTGTTTGTTCCTAAAGCGCTTTTTTACATCTGTATAAATCACATCTGTATAAATTACTAACTAAAATCATAACCAACCGCCTAACACATAAGCTCGATTTCTATCAACCTATCGAGCAGACTGGATTCAAAAAACATTTTAATACCATAGACCACTTGCACACCGTAAGAACACTGATAGAAAAATGCACCGAGTATAATGTTCCAATTCATATGGCGTTCGTCGATTTCCATAAAGCATTCGATTCCATCGAATTATGGACAGTGCTTGAATCTCTAGAAAACGCACGCATAGATTCAAGATACATTAACATAATTCAAAACATATATGAAAATGCCACCATGCATATAAAGCTGGACGAAAGCACAAAAACTAATCCCATAAGACTACAACGGGAGTAAGACAAGGAGACACCATCTCTCCCAAACTATTTACCCTTGCTCTAGAAGATATTTTTAAGAAACTGGAATGGAACAATAAAGGTATCAACGTCGACGGATCATACTTAAACCACTTGAGATTCGCAGATGACATAGTTTTAATAGCCAATAATATCCTAGAACTAAATGATATAATATGTTACAACAATTAAATGCAAATTCAGGAGCGGTAGGCTTAAAAATGAATTACAGCAAAACAAAAATACTGAGCCGAGACCAGACAAATATAACAATACAATATCATACCACAGAAAATAAGGAACATTATGTATATCTAGGTAAACTAGCACATATCTTGAAAAACACCTCAATTCCTATAAACTTAAAGAAAAAGGTGTATAACACATGCATACTACTTGTTTGTACCTACGGCTTGGAGACAGTAGCACTTACCAAAAAATCTGCCAAAAAATTAGAAACAACGCAAAGAGCAATGGAACGAATCATGCTTGGAATATCACTAAGAGACAAGATTAGAAATACCGAGATAAGACGTAGAACGAAAATTAGGGATATTGTGGAAGAAATTACAAAAATGAAATGGCGCTGGGCAGGTCACGTATCCCGATATAATGACAACAGGTGGGCACGGAGAATTCTAGAATGGAGACCAAGGACGACAACAAGAAGCATGGGAAAACCCCAAAAAAGATGGGTAGATGACATAAGAGCAGTGGCAGGCAAACAGTGGATTAGATTGGCGCAAGATAGAGAAAGATGGAAGCAATTGGGAGAGACCTACATTCAGGAGTGGATGGAAAATGGTTGACAAAGAAAGCACTTTTTCGGTAATTTTTTTGGAATAAATATTAAATAAAATAGGTGATAATATTTATCCTTGTCTGACAAATCTCTTTATTTCGATTTTATCTTGAATCTATTTCATCCCCTTCATTACGGCTGTATAAATATAGTAGAGTTTTGTAATAATTCTAATGTCCTTTGTATCCAAACTCTTTTATTGGAGTTGCTGTACGAAGCAATTGTATATAATTTTGTCGAATGCTTTGTTATGGTCTAAAAGGTAGCCGTAAAGTGGTTGATTTTTTTCATCCACCGTTGGATCGACACCTTTATGACAAATAGCGATTCTCTAGTTCCAAGATTCCTGAAACCAATTTGTGCCTGCTGATATCTTTTTCTAGTCTTCGATATATTCCCTTTTGAATATTTTTTAAAAATATTTTGAGGATCTGACTCATCAGGCTTATCGTTCGACGATTATTCTCTTGAATTTGGTTTCTTTGGGTAATGCCATAATAGTAGACTTCAGCCATTTTTTAGGAATAGTTCCTGTGTTATATATGGAGCTATATAAATCCATTAGAACTTCTAAAGGTTCCTCGTAGTGCAGTTTGAATATTTTTGCTAGTATTTGCATAAGTCTGGAAGCTTTATTATGTTCTTTGATTATTTATATATATATATATTATATATATATATATATATATATATATATATATATATACATTTTATTGCATATAGCTGTTTATAGAGTTTGTCTCTAGTAATATTTCGAGCGCTATCAGTATCTGACTTGTTTAGTAAATGTACTGTACTAAAGAAAAGCATAACTCTTTAATATTTAATCACTGCTAACTTTTTAGCGGCTTAGAAAAAGCAATTAAAATAATCACATTTTACATGTAAACAGTTTTTAGCTGATTTTTCACTTTAGCTCAGGTATTTAGTGTGCAGAATGTACTTCATTTTGCTTGTGGCCTTTGAACATATATTTATGTGCTATTTGATTATTGTTAAGATAAGATACAGCGTAGAGGTAAAGTGTGATCATAAATTTATTTTTTGTAGACTCGGTTTATTCTCTAAATAAAACGGTGATCTTCCTACAATAGAACATTTGCTTGCCACTTTGTTTTGTTTGTTCTGCATATTCTGAATAGCGCGATCATTCTATACTAACGCATTTTTGAAAAACCGATCTAGACACTTAGTGAGAGCGCCTACC